CCTGTCCATTCCAAACAAACCTATCCCAGTCCATCCCTTTCCTGTATCAACTATATGCCAAATTTTCTATACTGACAAGACCTCTTTGCACACCACTCCCTATAGGTGTGCTTTTGGTTCAGCCATGCCCTCAAAGTATCACACCGTCCACAGACATGCCCCAACCACAGGGAAGGGATAAGCTGCAGGAGGCATGGGTTTCAGGGGATAAGCATCACTGAATTTGAATGCACTGATCTTGCCCTAAAAGAGGAAAACATGAAAAAAAGAAAAAAGCTCAAGGAACTTTAAAAATGTAAAACATCAAAAATGCAATGTTTTTTTTTTTGCAGGTAAGAGTAATGAGAGCAACTAATGAATCATCTGATATTTGCTGAGAGAACAAGATTTTGTGTATGGTGCTACCCTCCATACGAAAGTAACATTTCCCAAAATTCTTTTTAACCTCTTCCTGAGGTCATATTGAAGTTCAGCTATGCCTCTCACTCAATTCAGATCACAAAAGGACTAACTCTGCGATTCTTTGCCCTGCTCTCTACTGAGCACTGGACGACGACCCCGTCTAGCAGGTGGGAGGCCGGAAGGCATGTCAGACTGGTGGCTATTTATCACCCTATCAAGGTACTGACGGTGGATGTTGCGCACTGTTGAACGACTCAGGTGCTTGTTCAGGGTCTTGGAGAGCTCCCGTGCAGCCTTAGCGGCTCCCATCTCTGTACAAGCCCTGCCAATCTGAAGGCGTTCCTCGGGCGTCCAACGGTTGTAAACGCCCCGGCACTTGGCCAGCGCTGTATGTTCACTTGCTTCCATCTGTCAATTGATGGGCACCATCAAATTTGCTGATTCAAAAAGGTTTGGCTGCATACTATTTCCTATTTTCATCATGAGGTCAGCTGGTTGATGTGATCACTTATCAGTGATACCCCACCTCTACACAGTATTTCAGTATTATATATAAAAACTTATTATGGTGTTTTCATTAATGCACTGTGTTTTACTCTTTAACACTAAATGTTACCCAATAAAAACTAATCATCCATGATCCTGCATGTTTTTAGTATTAATCACACACACAACCACAAGGACTATATCAATAAACATATATAACATAAGAATATTACTAATGCTAGATGCTATCGGCATAAATGGCTTTTCTTGAATACTTTACATTTTGAAAAAAAAAAAAACAGCAGGAAAATGAATCCCATTCCATTATTGACTAGACTAAGGACAAAATATAAAATTGTCATCTATCTACTGTTGACAGCTTCTGGCTATAACATTCTTTTTTTCATTGTTAGTAAATTCTTTTTTGAGCTGAAGGGATATAATTTTAGATCTAACATATATTAAGACGATATAATAAAAAAGTGTCTTTACTGTAGGTTCATGAAGCTTATCTCTGTACCATAGACATTATAGTAAAAACATATGTATTCTTATCTTCCTTAAAGTAATAGGAGAAAGCAATACCAGCTGTTTTGAGTTTTTTCTGGGGCAGAAACTTTACACAAACAAAAAGAAGGGCAGAAACTTTACACAAATAAAAAGAATCACATAACTTTGAAACCTACTGATTTTTTTATATACTTTCTTAATAATTTATTTATCTGTTATTTTCATATTAATTATATTTTGGGGGGCTATGACAGACTTACCAGTGTTAATAAAAAGGATGATATTCAAATACCATCTATGAATACTTTGGTACATAGACTAAAGTGTTTCACTTATCATTCTCATTATTGCAAAAAAAAAATTTTTTAAAAACTCTACAAGTTATGACTTCACCTCTGTGAGGAAACAAAGGAAACTGATGATAAAATAAAACATAAAAAAACACTAAATGTAAATGTATAAATGTTCAGATCATGAAACAATCAAGAAATGCCATTTCAAAGACTGAAGTTTATTTGATATTGTAGAAAATAATATGGATTACCATTATCAATTTTGATTCACAAATAAAACAAATAAATATCCATAACATATATACCGTAAATATGAACAGTTTAAAATTTTGTACTTGTTGATTAATTTTTCTATGATATCTTCTACCATTAAGTGTTAAATTCTAACAATATAAATATATACATACTCTGACTCTATACAAAAGCTTTCCCTATATCACTATTCCTTTACTTTCTATGTGCCTAATAGAGACATCTCAAAATAATAAATACTTCCAAATAATTACAATGAAGAGAGTTCACCAAGACAAAGGCAAATGAAGGCATAAAGGTGAATGAATAGCTTAAGATCCCAAGACATTTCAATGGAATCTCTGGCATTGTGATATCACATACATACAAATCTCAACAGGAGCACGAGTACACTGACTAATGATGTGAACATTGGATGTTGTCTTTCAATATATTCATGAAACCTCTCTCTCTCTCTTTTTTTTCTTTTCTTTTTTTTTGAGTTGAAGCACTAAGAGCAAAAGCTGATTTGTAAAAATTGATGGAATGGCACATGGAAGGAAGGGTAACCATCCTGTGCTATAGTCATGGCACATGAGTCTAAAAGTTAAATTATGATGCCGTGGCAATCTACTGGTCAACAGTGCATTTGATTTCAATAAACATATAGGACACAGCTGTCTGTATTATTTGATTAGCCCATATATGCAGACAGCAACAACAAATACTGTCAAATATAACTGACGGTACTTGTCACTGCTACATGTATATTTGGTCAATCAAGTGATACTAACATCTGTATGCTCCGTGATTAATGACAAATGCATTGGTGCCCACCAGGTTGCCAGGATAGAAAAAAGTAAGTTTGAGACAACAGAATAATCATTCAGAATATGATGAAATGAATAACGCAGTAAAGAAAAAGAAAACGGATATATACAACACTGCAGTTCAATTTCACTCCCTGAAGAACCAAGAACAAGTAACAAACATATCTATCCTTAATCTTGATAATTCATTAATGGATTAATAACCATATGAGTTTCTTCTGCACAATCTAAATCTACTCCTTAGAAAAACTCATAAACTCAATATTCCTGTCTTCACGTGTAAAATGAGCCTAAAGAGCAAATATGTTTTCCCTGTCTGTCTGTATCCCTTTCTCCCTACCAGTGTCTCTGTCTATCTCCATCTCTCATAGCAATGTTGTTTTCCTTCAACTTTTGCACCAGAAGGATCCATCCTTCACTAGTTACTATATATTTCCAAAACATCTCATCTTCCACACTTTGTTCTCCTACTCCCATAAAGAATGGAATTCCCCATTCATCAAATTTTCTGCCATAAATATGATACCTTTATTTTCAAAAGAACAGAAGAGACAATGCAGCACTGGCCTCCGATGACAGCAACAAACAAGAACCGAACCATCCAGTAGACCGCTGGGTGTCCTCCTCTCATTGTCCTTGCCTCCCCTGAGGGAGACTCAATGGCGCATTGACCAGCTGCCGCTTTGCCACCCTTTCCAGGTACTGCTTATGGATATTTTGAACAGTGGACTTGCTCAGCTTCTTGTTGAGGGTCCTGGAGAGCTCCCTGGCAGCCTTATTGGGCCCCATCCTTATGCACGCCTTGGCAATCAGGAGCCGTTCCTCGGGCGTCCAGCGTGTGTAGCCTCCACGGACTCTGACCATCGCCGCTGCTGCTGATGAGCCCTCAAGTGCTACCATCTGTTGATTGAAGGAGGTATCACATCCTGGACTTTGGGCTTTGGACACTCCAAACACGCCATTCTGGATTTTTCTACCTCTTCTTGGTTTTCATAAAGATGGGTCTGAACACATCATACTAGCCACTCTTTCTGGGATAGGTGTCAAAATGCAATGTCAAATGTGTGGGATTGTGAGCACACAACAGGCCATGGTAATGCTACCTATCTTACGGCCTAATAATACTAGTGTTTCTCTTCTAATGTGATTCATGTAAAAAATCTAGATGAAATTTTTGTTTTGATGAATGAGTGACAAAAAAAGAAGAAAAGAAAAGAAAAAGAAAAAAAAAAAATTCCCAAGACCCATAACAAATACTCATTTACACATCAGACAACTTTAACAAAATAAGCTAGTGAAGCAAAAAATGCAAGAGAAAAAAAATATATATATAATACATCACTACATATATGGTAAGAACTTTTAATAAAAAAAAAAAAAAACAATTAAAAAAAAAGAAAGAAACATTAAAATTTTTACTTTGCCATGCAGCCTCAATCTTTCACCATTTTACTTTAAAACCAGAAAATATTTCATATATAATCATCAATTTTGGCTGTAAAACATACATCATCCAGTGCATCTGCATACATTGCATAACTACTTTGTTCTAATTCTTGTGTTGTGTTATAAAGAAGGAAAAAAAGGATCCTTATACGTCAAATATTCTAGTGAGAATATTCTTTGATAAAACATCACCTAAACACTAAAAGATATGGCCTGTATTACCCAGCATGATATCAATCTTATTTACACATAGAAGGCTCCAGCAGTGCTTAGTCACCAAGGAAATATTCTAACAGGAATATTATTTGATAAAGCATCACCAAAAACATGAATAGATATAGCCTGTATTTACCTTATTGATAACAGTGTTATTAATTCACTATTTGCTGAATATTCAAAAGTAAAAGTGTTGCGATAAAGAGAGTCAAGCGCAGACTAGAACTTGGCCTTTTAGGATGCCCTCATTTTCTTTTTTTTTTTTTTACTTTCCTGTCCTTATTGAGCAGTCCATAAAGCCCTGTTACTTTAGTTTATGTTGTGCTATTCCTGATTCTTTAGTATTGGATATGCATATCTAAAAAAAATCTTTCTATTTGATCTCTACTGCATCTAGGAATGAGATTGTGAAATGTAGGCTGTTTGAAATTTTGGTCATTGCAACCTACTACTCCAAAGACCTCATGTGAAATGTGGAATCTTGGCCAAATTTAATTCCATTAAAGAACTTGACACTGTGAAAACAGATTTGCTGTGGAACATTAAGGTGTCTATGAAGTGACAAACTGCATATATACTTGTGACA